AATGAGCCTATTAGGCTAGTATATATATATATATATCGAAAAATACATTATATATTACATTACATTACATATTAAATTTCAAAAGCCTGTAATATTACAAATTCCACAACTATGGTGTTAACCACGGTTAACACCATAGTTGTGTTAACCGTTGTAACAAGAACTTAATATTCAATAATATCAAATAACAAAACATGATAATAAAATAGGCATTTCGGAACATAGTCAGTGATTTTCTGGAGATTCAACTTAAAACACTTATTTTGGACAAACTACCGAAATTTATTTTGATAAAGGTGAACTGCAATTACGTAAAATGTTAGTTTCGTAAAACCTCACTTAAAGACCTCTAGCGAATTCTACGAAGAAAGCAGTGATACAAAGTCACCCTCTTCCTCACAATCAATCACCCACTTCGCAAAATCGCATCGCATTGAACGCGAGAAATTCCTGTTTACACCTTCCGCTCCATTTGATATGATTGTCATCCTAGAGCACGACGTTTCCTATCGATAAACACGAGACAAAAGAAAATAAAACCGACTGACTCGAATAACATGACAAAAAAGCATGCTGCTTCTAGGTTTCATCGAATCCCGGTACAAAAATGTCCTTATCGCTTTCTGGAAAGGAAGTGTTCCCGAGTAATTTTTCATCCTTGTCCTATTTTTCCTTATTGTGTCCTTAAACTGGGGCTCTCGAGTGGATGAATGTTCCTGAAGGATGCTCGATTTCTAACAACGTAGAAATGAAGTGTACAATAGGCTTTGGTTGTTTATGAAAAGGAGTTTCCTTGAGGATGATATTTTTTGCGTAAATAAGTCTTTGTTAAAGCTTCGACAGCAATGAAAGAGACATCAATAACGATAACGAATTCACGTTCGGAGACTCTATCGAGGAGAGATTTATACATATTCGAAATAAAATCTGAATACATCCATCTCTCCCAATGAACCTACACAGTAGGTTCTGGTGGATGCCTGCCGAAAAACAACTACTTTCCCGGCTAATACCACGGTGGATGTTGAATGATCGACAGACATTTATGCAAGATACTAACAGAGGTGAGACTTACAGGCGTTTTGTTCATTCAGCAGCAGAACCATGCTTTTTTACTTGATCCACCAACAGTGTATTTGAGGTCTATGCTAATTTTCAGCTGGATGTGAATTATGAAAAAATCACCACTGGATTGAATTTTGTATTGAGCAATGAATTTCAGTGTATTGAATTTAGAGAAAGTTTTCTAAATTTCGATATGGTTCTGCCAACGTACAGTCTGTGATAATCGTCAAGTCTCTTTCTGGTTTTGACAAGCTGTACACATTTTGAACTGCTGCTTCATGCATCATTCAATTTTCTGGTTTTGACAAGCTGTACACATTTTGAACTGCTGCTTCATGCATCATTCAATTTGAATTGATCAGAACCACCTCAAAATATATCTATGACTGGAATCGCGATTAGAATGTGAGTGAAAAATTGAAAACCACTTTGCACCAACTACTTTGCACATGCCCATCTGCAACTGAACTGAATCTATTAAATACCTCGGAGTCATTGTTGACAAACACTTTAGATGTTACGAACATGTTACATATGTCACAAAAAGGGTAAGATCACTCATGAACAGATTCTACACTCTTCGAGATATATTAAACAGCAAAAATGTAATAACCCTTTATACTTCTATGGTAGAATCGGTTATAAGATACTGCATTCTCTC